ACTGTTACATTCTGTGACAGTTTCAGCTGTCCGGGCTCCCAGCAGATTGATTGGTCATATCTTGCTGCGGAGCCCAATATAAACGGCTGCCATGCTTCTTTCTAGACATCTGCAACATCGACCCATCCTGTGGATTCGGCAGCTGGAGGCCTTCTTTTAGGGACCGGCGAGCAGCAGGCAGCGATGTGGACATCGACATGGCTTTCATCTTAGATAGCTCTGAGTCCACCACCCTGTTCCAATTCAATGAGATGAAGAAATACATAGGGTACCTGGTCAGACAGCTGGACCTGAGCCCTGACCCCAAGGCTTCCCAACACTTTGCCCGAGTGGCCGTGGTGCAGCATGCACCCTATGAGTCCATGGGCAATGCCAGTGTGCCACCTGTAAAGGTAGAATTCTCCCTGACTGACTATGGCTCCAAGGAGAAGCTAATGGATGCCTTGGGCAACAGGATGGCACAGCTGCAGGGGACCAGGGCCTTAGGCCGTGCCGTTGACTACACCATAGATCATGTCTTTGAAAGTGCACCCAACCCACGAGACCTGAAAATTGTGGTTCTGATGCTGACAGGGGAGGTACAGAAGCAACAGCTGGAGGAGGCCCAGAGAGCCATCCTGCAGGCCAAATGCAAGGGCTACTTCTTTGTGATTCTGGGCATTGGCAGGAAGGTCAACGTCAAGGAGGTATACAGCTTCGCCAGCGAGCCAAGTGATGTCTTCTTCAAGCTTGTGGATAAGTCCACTGAGCTCAACGAGGAGCCTCTCATGCGCTTTGGGAGGCTGTTGCCGTCCTTTGTCAGCAGTAAGTCCTGAGTCAGCATCGTGGGCCAAGCTTTCTGCCAGCCCACACCCTTGGGCAATGGGGGGGAGGGGCACAGGCATGGCAAAGACAACTAGTGTAATGATGTTTAGTTTTTCATTCATTCAACAGGTAGGTATCAACACCCACAAGTCCCAGGACACTTTAAGTTGCCAGGGTTGGCAGTGAGCACACAGACAGAGACCCTGTCCTTGTTCACTTGTTTATTCAACCAAGTTCCATTGAGCACCTCCCGGCCATAGACAGTGTCCCTGAGAGTTTATAGTCTAGATGGCAGTTGGGTCAAGTGCACATTTATTGTGCATGATGTAATATCACGGCATGTCACAGAGAAGTATATCTTGATCAGGCTCATGGAAGCTTCTAGAAGAACTTGCCACCAACCCCGTCCTTGGAAACCTCTGGGTCTTTGCTGATGTGGCTCCCCCAGAGTGCCCTCCACCTCTGCTTCAGCAGCAATTCCACATTCATCTTCCAAACTCACCTCCAGTTGCCCCTGCTCACCAAGGATGCTCCCCACTCCCAAGGCTTACTTGTTGTTAATCTGGATGCCACACTTACTGCATCTATCGCATGGCCCATTGGTCATTCATTGATGGGTTTATGATCACAGAGGACTTCATGGTCCAGGAGAAAGTGTTCCTTTTTTTAAAAAAATATATTTTTATTTATTTCAGAGAGGAAGGAAGAGGGAGAGAGAGATAGAAACATCAATGATGAGAGAGAATCATTGATCGACTGCCTCCTGCATGCCCCCCACTGGGGATCGAGCCTGCAACCTGGGCATTTCCCCTTGACTGGAATCAAACCTGGGACCCTTCAGTCCTCAGGCCGATGCTCTATCCCACCGAACCAAAAGGCTAAGGCGAGAAGTGTTTCATTCACTGTGTTCCGTTGAGCCTGGCACAGTGCTGGGCCCAGAGTTGTCACAGGAAGATACACTGTATTTAACATATGAGAGAGATGTATAAAGTATGAATAAACATGCATATATGGAGAGTTTATCATTTAAGGTAAATCATTTAAGGTAAAACAGCATTCACTTTTGTGAAGCCTGTGCCCCAAAAGTTTTAGGGGAGAACCTATGAAACAAAGGTAAAGCAGCAAGTTCACCCAGGCCATTGTCACTAACTTCAGAAGATGGGAAAAACAAAAACAAAAATCTTGTTTAACACAGCATTGAGAAAATATTAAAAGTAAATTGGTTATAGTTTGATGTTTGAGGGTTTGGAACTGTTAAGTTCTGCACTTCAGTTTTCTCTTATTCCTGTCTTCCTAATCACATTGAGTAAATATAATCTTTAACCAAATCACCCAAATATTGCTAAATACAAGATATTGGCTTAATATGTTTTATGGATCAAACACCATTATACTTAATGTTTAAAACTCACTGGACTTAACTTGTCTGGAAGAATTAATTAAGTCAACAAATATTTATGGACTGAATACCATGTGATTCATTGAGCTCATTAGCATATTAATTTTAATTTGCAAGGGATTTGCATACACTTAACATATTTTTTTTTCCTATTTCTCTCTAGGTGAAAATGCTTTTTACTTGTCCCCTGATATCAGGAAACAGTGCAGTTGGTTTCAAGGGGACCAACCGGCAAAGACTCCTGTGAAATTTGGTCACAAACAAGTGTAAGTGATTATAATAATTGTCCCACAAATTACAGTGCTAGGGGAAATGCCGAGGTCCTCCAAGGACTAACATTATGGGGGGAAGACATAAAAATTCAGAAAATGTGACTTCCCTAAGGTCACATAGGACATTCTTTTAGAACAGGGGTGGGGAATGTCCGGCCCATGGGCCATATCATTTGGTCTGGTCCTGCCAAGGAAATTTCAGGTGGAACTTGAAATTCAACAAATCTCGGACCTTTTGTCATAGCAGCATAATTTTTAAGTTGAAAATTTTATATGGCTGAAGAATGATGTTATAAATATCTAAATGACCCTTGGCAGAAAAAAGGTTTCCCACCCCCGTTTTAGAAGAATCTGTTGTATCTGTTAGCTTTTGCTGCATAACAAATGACCCCAAACTTAGTGGCTTAAAACAACAATATTTTCTAATTTGCAATTCTTTGGGTTAGCAATTTTTGCCTGGGATCAGCTGGGCAGTTCTTCTGGCATCTACTGGGCTCACTTATATGCTTGTGGTCAGCTACTCATCAGCTGTGGGCTGGTGGTGCAGTGTGGTCTCAGCTGGACGGCTCACCTCTGCTCCACAAGGTCTCTCATTCTCTGTGGGGAAGACTGGGTTTGTCCACAGGTGACAGGGCAGGGTCATGAGAGAAGGCGGAAGTGTGCAAGACCTCTTGGGGCCTGGGCTAAGATTGGCTCACTGTCACCTCTGCCACATTCTTTTGGTCAAAGCATGTCCAGAGGCCAGCCTTGCTAGATTTGAGGGTGGGAGCTGGACTTGGTGGGAGGACCTGCCACATCACATTGCAGGGCATGGGTACAGTGGGGTGGGCAGTTGAGTCCCTGTGTCCAAGCGATCAACCATCTCGGGTGTGAAATCATTTCCTGTAGAAGGACTGGATACCTTCAGGAAAGAATGGACTCCAGATCTTCTTAAAATGATTAATGCTGTAATCACACAGGTAATGGTGGTAGCAAGTGGAGGCAATGTGCATGCTCCATAACGAAGGCTAATGAGAGGGTTGGGAGATGGTAGGGACTGTGGTACCCACAGTGATGCTGGCCACCTGGCACATGCTCAGTGACTGTATGCCCAGCTCCATCTGTGGTGCCAACTCCAGGAGCAGACGGGAGAGCAGTGTGGCTGTGCGACAGAGAGCCTGGTGAGGGGAATGTGGTGGCAGGACCGAGCGCAGCAATGTGCCATCGATTGGTACCCTTCAAGAGAATGCGACAGTGTGCCATACTCTAGGGGAGGAGGGGGTTCTGACTATGGCACCCAGATGATGTGTGGATTCGGATTATCCTTGAAATAGGAATGTCTGTCTTACTCCCGCTGACCTCCAGGGTGGGGAGAGAGAGCCCACCTCTTCCTCCTACATGCCCTTCTCTCCATTACCCCTTACGTCCCTCAGCTCTTGCTTTTGTCCCCAGAGGGGATGCTTCAGATCTCAGGCTCGTTAGTTGAGAATCATTACTAAAGCAGCCATGGCCCTTTTCTGGTGCTATGGTACTACCCTGTTGATCTTGGTCCATAGGTTCTCTTTTTCTAGCCTTAATTACCTTTATAATTCCTCTAGAACAGTGGTTCTCAACCTTCCTAATGCTGCGACCCTTTAATACAGTCCCTCATGTTGTGGTGATCCCCAATTTCATTGTTACAAATTGAACATAATTAAAGCATAGTGATTAATCACAAAAACAATATGTAATTATATATGTGTTTTCCGATGGTCTTAAGCAACCCCTGTGAAAGTGTCATTTGACCCCCAAAGGGGTCGCGACCCACAGGTTGAGAACCGCTGCTCTAGAACATTCCCAAAAGTTGGATCAACCTTATCCAGGAAAACAAAATAAACAAATCTAATATCTGAATTTGTATAACAATTTGAAAATATACTGCATATGACATGTAGTGTGATATATCTATAACAAATGTTCATGTCAGGGCAAGAAATGATCAAGGGGTGGGTCTGTGCCCCTGTGTGTTTAATTATGTTGCTGTTTTCTTTGGTGACTTGAATAGAACAATAAATTATAAAAAATAATCAAAACAAAATCACACATACAAAACTTAATACAAACTAAAATGCACAATGAGCCTGGGAGTGAAAGCATACACCGACTTTATAATTTTCCAGTTCAACACAGCATTTTGCTGAGTGGACACTTTTTTATAATCAGAGCAGCTATTAACTGATTATTATTGTTAGCAATAAGAATAATTACCATCCTTTCAATATTTATTGTCTCTTTACTCTCACCCTGCTTTTATTTGATAAATTGAAGAGATGTCAGATGTATTAATAGTACAATAGATGCTTCATTTTTAGTGATTATTATTTTCCATGCTGTTCAGTATGTTCTCTGTGGCACAGATTCTATAGAGAAGGGATTTGAGATGTGCAGGCCTATATGTAATACATAGAACGACTGCATGCATTTAATACAACAGTATGCTCTGCATAGCTCACTAGGGCATGTCTCTGTCCATTTTAGATAGCGGGCAAAACTATAGATGGGTTGAAGCAAAATTTAATTTGTTTTAACAGAAACACACCAAATAATGTTACTTCAAGTCCTACATCCAAACCAGTGGCCGTGGTCAACCTGCCGGCCTCAAAGCCGGCTGCCTCAAGACCTGCAGCTGCAAGACCTGTGCCTGCCAAGCCTGAGGCCTCAAAGGTGGCCACAGTCAGACCTGCAGTGGCCGCAAAGCCCGTGGCAGCAGCAAAACCAGTGGCAGGAGCAAAACCGGTAGCAGGAGCAAAACCGGTGGCAGCAACAGCAAAGCCAGTGGCAGCAGCAAAGCCGGTGGCAGCAACAGTAAAGCCAGTGGCAGCAGCAAAGCCGGTGGCAGCAGCAAAACCGGTGGCAGAAACAGCAAAGCCGGTGGCAGCAGCAAAGCCAGCAGCTGCAAGACCCCCTGCTGTTACCAAACCAGTGGCAGCAAAGCCTGAGGCCCCCAAGCCCCAGGCAGCCAGGCCGGCCACTACCAAGCCAGCCACTGCGAAGCCCGCGGGTAAGCAAGCTGCTGGGAGGGCTGCCCCCTGACACCCACCTGTCCTGTGTCCAGGGCAGGTCCCTCAAAGCCTGTTTACAAAGCCATTGAAATACAGTCACTGATCAGGGTTTTATACATCTGGGTGATTTGTATGTCTAAAAGGTGCTGGTAAGAGCAGGGAATTGTCAAAACATGGCCTGTTTTCTATATTAGAAAGAGATCTCTCACTACATGTGAGGCTGGTGAGCTCCATGCCGAACAGGCAAAAGGGCTCTCCCGCTTCCCCCACTCCCACCCGAGCCCACACCTGTTTGTTCTCTCTGGGAAGTTCACAGGTGGGCATGACCCCTCTCTCCTGGAAACCCAGATCTTAAGCAAAAGGGATGAGTTCTAAGCAGAAGTAGAGTTTGGGGCCCCATTTAGGGAGTGAGAGCGAAAGAAAAAGCCTGTTGTCGGCTCTTGAGCCATGGGCTGTGCTTGGATTCTGGAGCCAGACCTGCCTCCCATACGATACGACTCCAGGAGATCTGCAAGGAGTTTCATGATTGCGGACTTTGTCCTGCTGCCAAGCACATACCCATAGAAAAGAGGCCCCTCGCTGCCTGGTGGTTAGCTCAGCAACCTGGACAGTCAGCCACCCCACAGGCTGAGCCTTGTGCCAGGCCTGTCCATGGGAAAAGCAGGCTCCAGCCTGAAGGAGAAATCGAGGGGAGGGGAGCCATGAGGCCCAGAGGGTGTTATTTTATTTTTTCCTCAAAAAAGATGTTAGAAGATACTTACAGTGGTTCTCAACCTTCCTAATGCCACGACCCTTTAATACAGTTCCTCATGTTGTGGTGACCCCCAACCATAAAATTATTTTCGTTGCGACTTCATAACTATAATTTTGCTACTGTTATGAATTGTAATGTAAATATCTGATATGGAGGATGTATTTTCATTGTTCACGCCCCACAGGTTGAGAACCTCTGGGAGTATCACAAGCTATATAGAAAGGTGAGGGCAGAATGCATGTGCTCTTACAAAGGTCATGGAAGTAGTCTTCATGTTATGTACAGAGAGCAGAGATTCCTTTAGAAGAATTTCATGTCATGCCCTAAGGTTTCATGACTCAATATATTTAAAATCCTGGGGTTCACACCATAGTGAACACATTTCAGATAGCACATGGGACCATGAATTTTCATAGTATCCTTTAGTAAGAGAGATTGTCAGAAGGAAAAAGAGGGAGTTATGTACTTTGCTGATGGATAACGCAAGTTTTAATTACTATGAATCATTTCACATCTCATCTACATTGGTAGAAGATCAATATTTCCCAGGAACATGAGCAAGAAACTGGGTCCCTGCCTCACCTCGCTTTCTGGTCAACTGTCTACTGATACATATCTCTCAGCTTTCGTCTCTTGCCTGCCTGTTTCCGTCACCTGGAGTTTTATTTATCTGTCCCCACACTGTGTTTGGTCTTTTCTAGTCAAGGCTGCCCGAGAGGTCCAGGTGCTGGAGATCACCGAGAACAGCGCCAAACTCCACTGGGAGAGGCCGGAGCCCCCCAGCCCTTACTTTTACGACCTCACCGTTACCTCGGCCCATGACCAGTCCCTAGTTCTGAAGCAGAACCTCACGGTCACGGACCGCGCCATCGGGGGCCTGCAAGCTGGGCACACGTACCATGTGGTGGTGGTCTGCTACCTGAGGTCTCAGGTTAAGGCCATCTACCGTGGAAGTTTCAGTACAAGTGAGTACGGGGTCCATTTAAGAAAAGTTGGTACCTGGCTTGTACATGAATGTCGACAGGACATACAGGGAACAATTCATATTCATTGAATCTGTTCTGAAATAACAAGGCTAAAACAAAATCCTTTATAAACAAATGAATGGAAGATGGGGTTCCTTGTGACCTGTTTCCCTGCCTTTGGGGTCCTGGAAGAAACCAGATCCATTTGGCCTGGGTGCCGCCCTTCCCCTGCGAGAAAGAAATAGGCCCATGTAACCTGGCTGGGCTTGATGCCCATCACATCTGTGTTTCAGAAGCACATTTCCATGTTCAGTGAACAGAAAACACCACCAAAGGTCCCTGGCTCCTTAGGGAGTAACCAGCTGGGGGGCCACAGGCATCCTTGGCCACCGCAGAAAGGACCTCAGAGTTTCCCTCCCCTCCCCCGCATGCTCCGGCTCTGCCCTGGCCCTTCCACAGCCCCAAGGCCTGGCCTGCAGCTTCTCCAGCCTCTAAATTACTCATGCCCCACCTCCTCTCTAAGTTCTTCTTGTCCCCCACTTTCTTCCTGACCCTGGCTTCTCTGGGGTGTGGAGAGGGAGGCTCACATTCTTCCTCTTCTGGCCAGTGCTATTCAGATCAAAGAACTGTGCTCGAGGGAAGGGGATTCCCACCAGCCATCATGTAATCCATGAAGATAAAGAGTCCAAAGACCCTTCCACCCCAGGGATCTGTTTTCTCGGTTAGAAACAGAAGAGTTTACATTGGAAAATGAGAAGATTTGTTCAAACAGAGATTTGCTCTGTTTGCTTGTTGAGATGAATTGAACTAGCAGACAGCAGACATCAGGACTCTGTGTTTGGATTTCTTGGGTCCCTGTGTTTCAGCGGCCCACCCTTATCTTAATCCAGAGAGGCAAGCTTGCCTCATACCTCAAGATTCCCTGGTCCTTCAGTGTCTGCGTTACCTACGAGTTGCATGTGTTTTTCTTTTATAGGGGAAACTCAGCCTCCACCTCCACAACCAGCAAGGCCGGCCTCTAGTTCAACCTTCAATCTCATGGTGAGCACAGAACCGCTGGCTGAGAATGAAATAGGTGAGTTGTGAGAACATTCGGTCCATTAGCAGCACCAGTACGGCCTTCTCCCAAACAGTTACAGCCCTTGCATTTTGGATACTCTGTCACCTGCTGAGGTTCTAACGCTCAGCGCAGGATGACTTCTATGGGGAAAGTTCCATATCCACGTGGTGTGGCCCCGCATGGGCTCATTCTGCATATTCCAAGCTATCCCTGGAAACTTACCTTGCCCATCCCCAGGCTCTTGGAGAAAATTGGATGGGAGTTGCTTTGGGCGCTGCAGCCAGGAATCCACGTATTGTTTATCACTTTTCTCATATTGGGACTAGTGTGGATTTGTGTGGTCTATGATGCTACAACAAGTAGAGTGTCACTCATTCAGTGATCCAATCTAATAAAAAGTGCTCAGGCCCTAGCCAATTTGGCTCAGTGAATAGAGTGTCGGCCTGCAGACCAAAGGGTCCCAGGTTTGATTCCGGTCAAGGGTACGCACCTTGGTTGCAGACTCCTCCCCAGCCTGGGTCCTGGTCAGGGCTCATGCAGGAGGCAACCAACCGATGTGTTTCCCTCACATCGATGTTTCTCTCTATCTTTCCCTCTCTTTTGTGAAAATCAACTCTCCCTAAAAATCAATGGGAAAATATCTTTGGGTGAGGACTAACAACAACAACAACAACAACCATAAACTGCTCAGAGAGACACAAGACATGCAGATGAAGACCCATGGCAGACGGGTTTGGAAATGTCCCATGGGATTTGTGTTCTGGTCCCAATTTCCTAAGCACATACCTGGCTCGGTCTCTCATACCACTCTCTGTGTGCCCGAGCCAAGGGAGTGCACGTTTGACGTTTAACCAGGGACCAGCCGGGCATGTTCCTGGACTGGCCACTGTTCCTTGCTTCTTTTCCTGGCCAGTGGGACTCTCTCAGACCTGTAATCCCTCGCTGAGCAGAGCACGAGCTCCAGTCATTCACCCTCGAGGAACGGATGACGGACATAGTCGACATGCTTTGCTTTCGAGTGTTCTCCTAAAAGATGTTGCTACTAATATCCAAAGTCCAAATTCCATGTTTTATAGGCCCCAGAGCACAAGGTTTTCCTAAGAGTGGGGACAGTTCATTATTTTTCAGTGTGTTGGCCACAGTCAGGAGGAGGAAGGCGTAGCTTTTTCTGGTGTTTATTTCTGTACCTGACTATGATAAAAGGCGTTTGCTGGGGCCCAGCTGCTCGGTCCCATGCTGGACTTGAAAGCAGCTGTGCTTTCTCCATATGTATTGCATCGTCAGCAGCAACAGCACATCATTTTTTCAGTTATCTACCAGGATTCCTCATTTTACTCTTTTCACTGTAAGTTTTTAAGATGCTATTTGTTTCTCCATTTTACCATTTCTGTAGGGTCTGCAACCCTGTCTCGTCTGTGTTCAAATAAATAAAATTGGGTGGTTTCTGACTCCATACTTGGGAGTAGAGGCTTCTTGATTCTTTAATCTTTTCTAGTGAGAACCTTCTCTGTTGCTAGAATACATTATTCCATCAATGGACTTTCCCTATGTCCATGGATATGTGTCTATATCTATAATCTATATCTATGTCTATATTTACATTTACATGTATACATCTACATTGTTCCTCTCTCTCTCTCTCTCTCTCTCTCTCTCTCTCTCTCTCTCTCTCATCTATCTACTATCGATTCATATAGCCACAATCCATAATGACATGTAGCCTCAGTCATATAAGAAAGAAGGTAACTGAGTCAGTACAGGAACTGTGAAACTGTTGTGCACATATATGTATAATAAGGGAAATAAATGAACTACTTAGAGGACTGAAAAAATGTTTAGAATAGTTTGCCTCTGAAAACAAGTTTAGAAATTGGTCTGTGTTAGGGACAGTCACATTTTTCAAGCTCCTCAAATCTTTCTAATGGAAAAATTGATTGAAAAACAAGAAATTGTCTCCTCTGGATGTAAATGTATGGGAATGATTCAGGAGTTCAGGGCAGATTTTATAAAAACTTTTGATGTTATGATTTTCAACTCAAATGGAAAATAGTGGAAGTAGGAATGTGGAGTTGAGGGTGGGTTGGAGAAGAAAACTTAAGTTTCAACCCTTTGATTTCTGCTCATAAGCAGTTTTCTGAGTCCTGCATCAAGGGACCAGGGGAAGCCTGTGTCCCCTGCACTGGGCACCTGAGCTCCTAGCCACTCCAGCTCCACTCCCGAGTGACCTCCATGAGGCTTCCCCACAAGCTGCTTGAGCTGAGAGATGCCACAAAGAGCATATAGAAATCCCCCAAAGACACGGGTCAGGACAGATGGGATGATAATTTCAGAGTCACTGACATCTGTGTATATTGTTTCTCACCCATTGATAAGTTTACTCCTTAAAGAGTATGTGAAATATAAAATTTCTAGCAAATTCTGTGCTTCAGTGAGAGAAAAAGACTGGGTGTAAACTACGCAGCAATTTTGGAGATGTTTTTGGCTCTCTTATGTGTGGTCCAGAAGGGCCAAGAATATGTAAACAGTGTTTAGTTAATATAAACAGCACAATCTTTAAACAAGAATCTGGCTGGGCTGGTCATTTTCATTTTTTCTTTTTTTTTTTTAAAGACTGAGGCACGGATTCAGAAATAAGAGGGTGTTTTCAATCCAGATATTTGTCCCTTAGGTCTCCTCTCTCCCTGTGATAGAGAGAAAAGACTTTTTGAAATTGGGGCTTGTGTGGCTGTCAAGGCTCCCAGGAGTGTTTGGATGAATCTAAACCTCTGTCCTGCATTCTGATGAGCCATAATGGTCAAACCCAGGACCTGAATGTCCCTTCACCATCTCACATGGTGGGCTTCCCACCAAGTGATTCCCACCAGTGAAGACACAAGTTCCCGGGTTTGCTCAGATCGGGGCCCCGTGGGACTGATCCTCACGGGATTCTGAGCCTCAGTCCTGTGTACCTTGGGGTCTGGTCCATCATGTAGTAGACCCAGCTTTGGGTCTCTCCCTAAGGCTCCATTTTTCTTTCTTGACATCTGTCAGGACTGTGCATGCGGACCACCTCTGCTGGGGGCGGCCCGCACAGCTGTGGGTAAAAGCCCTGCGTGGGGAGGGCTGGTGAGTCAGGCAGTTGGCCACTCACGGAAACATGTGGCACCGTCCACGCCAGGGATCTTTGTGGAAAGGCTTACGTTTTCCAGACTCTCAGATAACAGTTGACATTAGTGCCTCTCTTTCCCAGCAGGACCTGCAGCTTGCCAGGAAGTCTGTAAACAGACGTTTCCCCGAGTGTGAGCGGGAGGTCCTCCCAGGCTCTGCGAGCGCGGCTTCAGCGGGCAGCTGGGCCGCATCAGGCGTGTGCACTCAAAATCAGCTTCCTTAACTGGACAAAGAATGCCCCTGCCTTCAGAGCAGCTTGGCTCTGCGGCGTTTTTGCTGTTGTGAATTTTACATCAGTGTCAACACATCCTTTTCCTTACTTGTTTAATTTGGCCGGTCACAAAGGCACTGGGCTACAGGCACACACACACATACACACATGCACACACGCATACACACACACACAGAGACAGACACATACATACACACTCAACGTACGTACATACACACACTCATAAGTTTTTCACTTTAGTTTTTATTTCCAATCTAGTTGGCCTGTAGTGAAATGGACAGCCTTATTTTTGAACTACATTCTGACAGTATTAGTTGTTGTTTTGCCAGGGAGTGGAACACTCCAAGGTTGGAAAACTCGGTTTCTTCTCTGAGGATTCAGTGGTGAGGGAATTGGAGAGTGGCGGACCCAGGGGTTGGAAAGGGAAACACAGCTCATTTTACCTTAAATCAGTGGTTCTTAACCTTGGCTGCACATTAGAATCATCTGGGAATCTTTTTAAAATGCTGATTTCTGGGCCCCATCCTCCGGAAATTCTGTTTCTTTGTTACTAATGTTGTGGCCTCACCCCATAACAAAGAAAACAGAATTTCTGGAGGATGAGGCCCAGAAATCAGGGATTTTAAAAAGATTCCCAGGTGATTCTAATGTGCAGCCAAGGTTGAGAATCACTGCCTTAAACTATCCAGTAATGAAGGAGAGCTGACATAGGGATTCCGAGTGCAGTTCATGGAGTCCTTTCGCCGGTACGATTGTATTTGTTGCTTACGAAGCTCTGGGTGGTTACAAAGCTCATTTGACAGAGGGGAAACTGAGGCTTGGGGAGCTGTGGGGAGTTTCCCCCTCACTCTTCTCTTTCTCCCTCCAGCAGCCTTGTGATGAGACCTTCAGCCCCTGGCACTGGGGATAGTCACCCATGGGCTCTAAGGATGTCTTTTCTCCTCTCGTTGTTAAAGATATCTGTAAGCTGCCCAAAGAAGAAGGAACCTGCAGAAATTTTGTGTTGAAATGGTACCACAACGCGCAGACCAAGACCTGTGGGAGGTTCTGGTACAGAGGGTGCGGCGGAAACGAGAACAGATTCGATTCACAGGAAGAATGCGAGAAGGTTTGCTCTCCTGGTAAGTGGCTTCCTTCTGTGTTTGTGGTGTTCTAAATAAGATAAGAGACCCAGGGCAGTAATTCACCTTTTCAAGATATTTGAATTGAAATAATTATGGTAGATATGAAGCAAAAGATAGATTGTATCTTCAGATGAGGGAGATATTCAAATAAAGCATGTGAAAGGAACTTTCTGAATGATTAATATTTCTTAAATACTTCCTCATATCCTCATATTTTTGTCAATGAAGAAACACATGGCCAATTACTCCGCACTACTGGAAACGTAACGAAGTCCCTGTTATTTATAAAATATTGTAATAAACATGATTATTAGGGAAATAGTATAACAAACAATTATGGATAACACCAAAGATAACTAATCCCATCTGCTTATCTTTAAGTAATTGTGCTTCCTCTAAGCAATATTGATCTTGGGGCCACCCGAAATCTCCATTACGTTGGACGATTCGATTGGTAATAAAACAGGCCATCTTCACCCAGAGCCTGGGCCCATGTCACGAAGGTGGCAGGGGTGGGTGTTCAGTTTGCATAAAGACGTGGCCAGGGGTGCAGGCGAGAGAAGGTTCAGCTTGAAGGAGAGCCCCCATCCTCAGGCCTAGAAGCCCTGGGGAGCCAGGGAAGGCTTTGAGCAGGACAGTGAGCGGTGGGTGATGAAAACCAGAGGCTGTGGGATCATTTCATGTCAGTAATATGGCTTTTCCTCCTCTCTGTCTGCCCGCCCCATCTGTCGATGCTCAGGGCTTGTCAACCCCAAAGTCATGGCTGTGATCGGGACCTAAGCATGGCCGACCAGGGACACGTACCTCTTGAAGAAGAAGGAGTCAGCCATGTCCAAGCCGTCTTCATAGAAGCTCCGGGTATTGATTCCCTGGCACCGTACCATTTCATGCTTTGATTTACACTCGAACTTGGGGAGCCGTCTGCCGCACGACCTATCAACATGGTGCTAGTGTGCCTGTGGGCCCACGCTCTGGTCCCCAGGCAGTGACCACGTATACTTTGAACGTGTGTAATAGCCACTGCTGGTGTCTATGTGAACATGTCTAAACATTCAAATCCCCTCTGCAGTTTCATGTTCTGCCTGTTCCAGGCAAACATAAGATCTAGAAAATAGCCCCCAACTTCACAGCTACTCTCTATCCTTCCGCTTGGTTCGTCTTTTTCCCTCCCAGTTAAGCATGACTTTAGATGGATAGCCTGTCCTGGCGAATAAACAACTACCCAATGTTTCCATTTTTCTCCCCAAATCCTGGATTAGAGTCCAAGAGAATTTTCTTTTTCTAAAGCCTCTAACAAACCATCTGGTTGGAAGGAAGCAGACTCTCTTAATCTCTGTGCACTGCTACGGGACCAATGCCTCCATTAAAGAATGAAAAGAAAGTCATAATAGAGAATATTTTTGGCATTCCTCTAATGTTGTGTTTTTTGTTTATTTTTTGGTGCAGGGGTGGGTGGGGTCTAATTTTAATTTTAAAGTGTTTAGGAAATTTATACAAAGAAACTTTTTAATAAAGTATATGGAAAGTGTCTTGGGTTTGGTGTTATTTGCTGTCTTGTTTCTAGAATCACCCCAAGGCCAGGCTGGTGGTCCTGAGTACCACCCTTCTGTTTCCAGTGGAGGGGGCTAGAGAGCTCTCTGAGACAGTGTACGAGACCAGCTGGGTCCGACCCAGGGCTCCAGCACCCCAAGACCACCTGGACCACATTCCTGGCTTAGGACTCGTGCAGTCTTTCTGGTCTTAAGAATCAGGCTGGCACCCTCTCCTCTAACTTCTGGTGGGGCCCCAGAGCCTTGGCCTCCTTCTTGGCCTCTTTTGGTTGGTTTGCTCCCCTTTTTATCCCCCACCAGTAGCTGAGAGATGATGTCCAGCTGGCCCAGGGCACCCCATCCCTTTTCTGGAGTCTCAAGGAGAAAGCAGAATGTCTTTCAATTTCTTCCTTAGAGACCTTTGTCTCCTCCTGTCTTCAGAAATAACACAAGAAGCGAACAAATGCAACGTTAGGTGGTCCCTGCATTCCAGGGAGAAAGGGGACAGGATTTGTTTGAGAACATGTCTCCCCTGGTAGACAGAGCTCCCGGGACCTGGGTGTGGGCAGAGCTGCTGTATGGGAGATCCGGAGTGAATCTGTCAGTTATTCTATTGAGAAGGGAGCTGGGAGGAGAGAGTGTGTCGAGCTGGGGACAGGAGAGAAGACCGGGGACCACAGACACCACTCCCTGCATTCGTCACCCAGATTCCTAAGTTCTCACAGTGCCCTCCAGGTGAGCGCACCTGCACAGGACTGGCGGAAAAGCCAGTCCGTGTGGGAGAGAGTCACAGCGCATTGACCAGTGGAAGGAGGACACCTCTGCTGGGAATTGCAGGAACCTGGGGGAGCACTCAGGCCTCCACGGTCCATGACATCAGGGATTTGATTTTACCCGCATCCCATGGCGACTGAGAGGACCTGGTAGGACATCAGGGCAGCTTCAGGGGAAATGCAGAGCTCTGGGGACTCCTTAGAAGCTCCCACAGTCAGGAGGGCCTGGACCACCTCTGTCCTCTAGATAATGCCAACCCTCCTAACTTTCGAAGGGCCTCATTTGTAGCATGAGACCAACCCAGTGGACCGACAAAGAGCCCAGTGGGGTCATGAATTCCCTTCAGATGGATACTGGCCCTGGGTGGGAAACATGCGTTCTGGGACCTTCTCAGCGACAGCCACCCAAATTCTCCAGCCCCACAGGAACAGCCCCTTCCACCTGAATGTGCGTGTGCACCTCCCCTCGGGCTCACCCAAGTCCATCCCATTGGAACAAGGGCACGCTTGTAGAGGGGCCAGGGAAAGGAGTGTCCCTGGTGCACTGGGGTGCGGGTCGGGGGGTGGGGCATAGCAGGAAAGAGTCTATCTGTTTGCTCGGGCTCCACAACCAAGTACTACAAACTGGGTAGCTTCCAACAACAGGCATTTCCTCTCTCACAGTTCTGGAGGCTGGAAGTCCAAAATCAAGGTGTTGGCAGGGCCGAGCTACCCTAAAATCTGCAGGGGAACTTCTCCTTGCCTCTTCCTACCTTTTGGTAATTTCTTGGGTTGCCGCCACAAGCCTCCCATCTCTGCCTGTGTCTTCACGTGGCTTCTTCCTGTGTCTTTGCCTTTACAAGGCCGTCTTCTTACATTGGATGAGGGACCCACCCTATTCCAGTGTGACCTCACCTTAACTAATTCTATCTGCCATGTATTTCCAAATAAGGTCGCATCTTGAGGTGCTAGGGGCTAGAACTTCAGCACATGTTTTTATTGGGGGACACAGTTCAACCCCCAGCAGAGTCTCTGCATTTCCAGTACCTGCTCCCGACTCTGGTATGTGGGCACACTGCTGACAGCTCGACAGCAGCTCCAGTGAAGACCCTTCAGCCGAATTCTGTCACTTCTCAGTCATGCTGGTTATTAAAAGCATCCCTACTGGACCTTGAGGGGTCCTGTTCATTTTCGAACTTCAATCCTAAATACTCTACAAAGCCTTTTCCCTGCCCGCAGTGCAGGCTGGACTCGTGGCCGTGGAGGGGGTTTGCAAGCCTCTGTATCCTCCAGGCTGGTAGAGTTCTGCACTGGAGCTCCTAACTGGACTCCTGGGGCAAAGCTGGGGTTGACCTTCTGTTGGTGGGTGCTGCTCTCTCACCCTGCCTGCCCTGGGCTCCCTTCTGCAGCAGGCCCCCATGCTGCCCCTCTCAGGCATATATCGATTCCCTGGCAGCATCTGTGGGTACTCTCTTGGGCAATCTGGCTTGTGAACCTCCTCCTCCCCTCTTTGGAGCTCCCTGTTGGGGGAATCCCTCCTCACAGGCTCTTGGTGCTGGGTGTCTTTATCCAGTAGATCACCCTCTTGGGGGACAATGTAATCAAGTTGGCTCAAGTCCAGCTGCCCTCTTGGGTCACTTAATCCACAGGAAACTCATGACCTTGCCACATCAACTAGTCTCCCCATTCAACCACTGAGCTCCTCCCACAGGTCCAGTGGTCAGGCACACGGTCAGCTGGTCTCAGCCACTGCCCTGGTGGTGGTGGTGACCACTCCCCCAACTTGGAGTGCTTCTCTGAGGGTTTTGTCTTCAAGGAAGGGCCAGTTGAGTGCCCCTTGCTGCTGCCACTGGCAGTGAGTTCCCTGACTTCCCCATGGGAGGGGAGAGAAGAGTGTGGCTGCCTCAGAGATGCTGCGTTGCCCTCCGAAGGTCGCTGTGACCTTGTCCTGATTCTCTTCTATTGCAGTGGTGACTGTGTGTGCTCAGTGCAGTGTGCTTAGAGCAGGGCCCTCGGTGTCACCTCTGGGCAGACAGGACCCAGCAGGCACCCAAAACCAGCCTTGTGCAGGAACTTAATAATCAGAGAGCTCTGGGCCCCAATCCCCTATCGATGGGCTCAACACTGCACTCCATGCCCCTAATTCTCCCAGAAGGAAAACTGCATCACCAAGGCACCTCAATAGTGCATGTGAATCTGCCTTCACCATACATTAGTGAGAAGTGGGTGTCTTATTGACGAGTCCTTGAGGGGACAGCAGGGAAGGACTGACTTCATACAAATGCCCTTTAACAAACTGTCTCAGCCCCACAGCTGCTCACATCTCCTCCTCCTCTTCCCCCCAGCAGCTGCCTAAAATCCCCTCCATCCTCACAGCTGCCCAGGCCATCCCCGGGCGGGTGTGGGCGCTTCAACCAGGAAAACAAAAGCCCAGGAGATGGCAGCACGGTGGGCGTCTTGCTTCCTGCCCAGTTCACATAAAATCTATCCACCACCCCCCATTAAAATAATTAGCTTTACGTACAATAAAGTGCATCTGCTTATGTGTACTGTTTGATGAATTTTGACAAATAAATGTTTTGTAACCCTCACCACTCATGACGTGAAACATCTCTGACAACCCATATGGCAATGTGTGTAAAGAGCATTGAATGTTTTTATAGCTTTTCTCCTCAGTGCATTACATGTAGAAATTTATCTCAAAGAAATAACCGGAGATGTATGAAGATTTATGTTCAAGGATATTCAATCTGTCATTATTTGCAATGACAAAGAGAATTAGAGATTATCAAAATGGCCAACAAGAGGAGGATATTTAAATACATCATGCTTCACCAACAAAAGAAAAAGATGGGTAGCCATTGTTTACCCCATAAGTTGGTAAATGGTTCATGTAATTACTGTGGTCCCCTACCCACAGAGACACACTCCAACACCCCCAGTAGATGCCTAAAATCATGGAGAATACCAAATCCTATATATATACTAAGTTTTTTTCCTTTACTGCATACCTATGATAAAGTTTAATTTATAAATTGGGCACAGTAAGAGAGTTGCAACAATGATTATAAGATAGAACTGTAAAAATGTTATGTAAATGTGGTCTTTCTTTTTGAAAATATCTTATTGTGCTGAAAGCACTCTTCTTGTGAAGATGTGAGATGATACATGCATACATGATGATGAGATGAAGTGAGGTACTCAGAACCATGCGCAACTTCAAACTTCAAGAACTGTTTATTTCTAAAATTTTCCATTTCATGTTTTTGGACCATAGTTGACCACAGATAACTGAAACTGTGGAAAGGGAAACCCTGGATAACGAGAGACTACTATAACCAGTCAATGTTTATGATAGAATGTTAAAAAATACAAATCTGTATATTTAATATGATAATTTCATTCATATGTATGTACATGCACACACAAATAATATGTTTCTCTTTTGCAAAGACAAATACTGCAAGGAAATACAACAAAATTCAAGCTGTGACTATTTCTGGTGATGTGATTTAAAAGTTCTTTAAATGTTCCCACACTTAATTTTTTTCAAAACTAAACATGTTACCTCTATCAGTTATTTTAAATGTGACAATATTTTCATACACGAATTGCAGTACTTGTAAACTGAAATTGTGTTTTAGTCTGTGTTGTATGAATGTACTTAACCATTAATTCATTCACTTGTTCATTCATTCACTCATATATTCATTCATTCACTCATTCCTTTGTCCACATGTTTGTTGACTATATCATGTGCTAGACACAGGTCTGGGCACTGGAAATGCAGTCCTCCTGGAACTGAGGTAGGTGGGGAACAGGACAACACCAATACATCTGTGAATGTTAGGAGGGAGGAGCTGTAGCATGTCCGCCTTTCCCATTGCCTTACACAGTGAGCAGGTGGAGCTCCCAAGCAAGAGGAAGCCTGGACTTCAGGAGAGCTCTGGGGGACACGTGCCACCTGTGGCCACACCTCACACGCTCGCCCAGGATGTGCAGGGCAGGGGACTGCTGGAGGGAAGGTGGCTGTTGTCAGAACCCCACTCAGCCACAAGGACACGCCCACCGCTGCTTCCCCGGCAGCTACAGGGCTTTCACTCCCCTTTCTAGACCTTTACAAAGCTGCTTTCA